TCGGACTAGGTGCGTTCTACATGATCTCCCTGAAAACAAGACCAAGTTGCGACAACAAGGTCAACCCACTTCTATGAATCGAAAAGAGACTGCGACCACACCAGAGGCCACAACATCTTGGTCTTCATATATCTGGACTATTGTTGCAAAGGATGCTCTTCGAGGTCCTTCTGATTTCACGATATATTTTCGAAAACGAGGTCAAAACAATTATATACTTCAAAATGAGACAGCGACCAAGAGTAATAGCTGGATCATTTTGGTCTTTTTTATTCATTCTAGCACATATTTGCCCTCTAGACATATGCCCATGTAAAATAATATTTCAGTAATGTTTGCTTTGTCTTGATGTGTTGCTTAGACGGTGACATGCTTGCCTCTGCATTACATGCTTTGTTCGATTCCTTTGAAAATACGAGTATATTTATATGATTTCTGAAATATGGGCTAGTCTTGGTGTCAAAATATCTCTTAGATAAAAAGAACTGTGAAATTATCCTGAAAAATTAAATCTTCGCTTAATTTCTTCTTTGGCAGGCCAACTTCAAATAGTGTTATTTTTCAATTATTCAATGGTAAATTAACGCTATTAAATGTTAGTTACGACCTCATTATTATTGCTTCAAAAAATTTTGCCTTTTTTATTAGTTAATAGCATTTTGCTCTCTTAAATCTGTTAAATCAACAGCCATTTCTTTTTTAATCCAGTAAATGCAATTTATGAAAGTAAAGATTCTTGCTTCCTAAGTTATTACAAGCTCTTATTTTGTTAAGCACATACAAAAGTTAAGAGGCTTTTATATAATTTATGAGCCAATTTACTAAGATGATTGTTTAGTTAATGGTTGTTTCATCATCCTAGGTCTTTCCTTTATTTAATCCCTCTGAATACTTTACCATCCTTTTCATCCTATAGAATAAAGGAACTAAATTGCTTCACCGTCTGCAACAGGAACTTTGGGCGCACAGCTGTTCAGTAGAGGCACAGTCTGTGGGCTCTGGCATGACAATTTGCAAACCGCTTGTCGGCTGTGGCCCTGCGACCGCCGATCTACTCTTCACAAATTCTTCTACTCATTATCAAAACACATCTGCTGGCACTAACTCATCATGCGAGCCTGCAGACCTGCTGAGTTCTTCCATTCGACCTACTTTGGACACTACTAGAATTATTGACCCTGTCGTTGGACCCGTTTGTGTCAATATATCATCTGGAGATGGCATTGTTGAACAACTGGGCTACCCTCTTAGTGATTCATTTGGCCATACTGGCTTTGTCGAAAGCTCGGCTACTTTACCAACATCGGTAGTCCTGGCCAATAGCTCTGACCTTGGAGGTACCTCGGCGACTCTTAGTTTGGGCGCAGCTGGTGCCCTTGCCGCAGTTATTTCAACTCGGCCCCGAGTGGGTCGGTACAGTCTGATTGGTGGCCACCGCTCTTTAGGTGGCCGAGGTATTGGAAGCGGCGGTGGTGGAGACGGCGCGATAGGTGGAGGCAGTGGTGGCGGTGGAAGTAGTGGCAGATTGGGTATTCGATTCTGCCAAAGCAAAAAGCGGGCTGGCACATCCCATTTGATTGATCCGACGACCTCGTTCGTTGGTGGCTCTCAAATTAGCCAATTATTGCCATCAATATCTAATGTTCCCACATTCCCTTCTACTTCATTAAGCATGGCATACGCATCCTTTTCTGCTCCACCACTCCCCTCTCATCAGATTTTAGGGGATATTATTTCACCCCATAGTAGTATTTTACCTTTGACACACATTCCTAATCCTAGTATCACATTAGAAAAGTCTGTATCTTCCTCTACCGGAACTTCAAAGCAAGCTACTTTTTCTACACGGAAACAACATAGACAAGCCCAACTCCTTGGCTCATTTGAGAAGTTTCCTGGACAGTCTTCTTCTTGTGGTAAAGCGCACTTTCAGTCTATCACCTCAGGGGATAAAAAGCTCATTACAGTGATTGAAAAAAAGTTACATTCTCAAAGCAAGCTTAATAAACACTCTCTGCAGCAGCAACCTGATTATGATTCCAGTATAAGTGCTCAACACTTCCTACCAGCAAAAATGCATCAGCCAGTTCAACTTACTGACTTGTCCTCCACACAGCCTCCTTTTGGCAACGATATCGTGAGCAGATTTTTTTGCATTTTGGTTAATTTCGCATTTTGTCTGAAGTCAATGCTCTTTGAAGAAGTTGTATGCGAGTATCCGATTTGGTTACTTCAAGTTATATGTCTGCGTGTTTTCCTATGCCTTCATGTGTTTATATATGTATGAAACTAGCAGTGCTTGCAGTAATTAGAATATAAAAGTAACGTCCGTTTTTGGTCATCAAGGTATGATGACCACAACCATTCTCTTTATATATATATATATAGTAGCTCTAGTATGTTTGCTAAACAACAAACGAAAATTTAGCCGTATGGATAAAAACTTGGTTTCGAATAATCCCTTAGTAAATTCATGTTTGAGTACCTTCCATATCGTGGGAAGAGGCGAGTGGGAGCTATTCGTAAGTTGGACTCCCTGGAAGTTGTAGGTGGATTGCCTTGGAGCTGTATTTGTAGATTTGTACGAATAAGTCCTCGGCGCACCGCACTGCGACCCCGATGAATCTCTGCTGAGCTTTCGTCCGTCATGTGATGGACATCGTCAGGGCAAAACACAATCCTATACGATACTTCACCAAGCAAAAAAACGAGTAAGGTTTCAGGCTGCAATCCTACCTACCTTTTATTGTTTTGGCTAGGTGCACTTAGCTAGAAATCTTATGATTTAGTTAGAGATCCTATGATTTTCCTACATCCTGTTGATAAGTTAAGTGCTTGCGGTTGACATGTGAAGTGGCTGCAATTGAAGCGCGAAATGGATGCAAGTATGACCGCACAACACTTTTTTTGTTTGATCCCGTAATGGTGCCGCATTTGATTTCTTTCCGCTGCACGTGTGTTGTGTGCATGCAATGCTCGTAAAATCGGTCGGGCTTGAGAGTGTAGACCAGATTTTAAACTAATCACGCCTCCTTGCTTCGTGTTCCCTCCTTTCTGTAATCCTATTCAACAGCCACTGATAGCTTCCACTTAATTTCATGCACTCGTTCCCTCTATTCATCTGTGTTGGCTTTACTATCTAAAACTATAATGGCCAGAATTGCAGGTACTTCTATTATGCCAAATCTTACCTATAATTTCACCTATTTTTTCATTATTTGTAGTTTTTCTTACGTCGCGTATACTCCTTAACAGTCTGAACACATAGCTAGTCAATCAGCCCTACTGTGTCACTTCTAACTTACTGACTGACTATATAATTTAAGTAGCTAGGCACGTATATGACCGGTGTTTGAACTTTAAGCCTTTTTTGAACTACTTTATAACGCAACCTGTCTGCTTAGAGGCGTGTAGGTATCTATGCGGCACAGTTTATTTGCATATTTTTAACTTATTTTATCTATCTTACTTAATTAGCTCTTTTCTAGCTATTTCATCACGCAGCTAATTAGGCTCTTCTTTGGTTGTATATAAGTCTTAAGGGCTGCTATACAAATGTAAATCATATCATATTTAAAGTAATCTCTCCTTCACGAAACTATTTTGTTCAAGCAAATAATTTTGATGTTTTTCCTCCGGAAAATATCGGCAGAATTTAGCTTAGCTTATGTTCCTATATTTGTCTTTATGTTCAGTTTTTGTCGGTTTTAGTCTTAGCCAGGCTATATGCACCAAGAGTTCTATAATTTAGATATTTCATCTTATATTTTCTTGCGTTCTGATACCAGACATTTGTGCAGTTTTTGGCTTACTTATGCTTATTTTTCATTTTTCATCTATACATCTTTTTTCACTATATATCTCTAATCAACCCATAGTAACACTGGTGAGTGAATACCTTCCTAAGCTACAGATTCACTAAGTGATTTTTATTACTTCTACCTGAAGCATGAAACGGAAACCAGTGGTATTTTCCTCACCTAACACCATTCCACTACAGAAGCATGTTCATCCCTAGACAAAAAAAGGAACCATTTGTTATTGTGGTTCATATTTCTGCGAAAAAAGGTTAAGTTTCAAAGACGACGAGCTGTCGATTGGTTTTACTGGAAGATTCATGCTGACGCTGTTCCCTAGGTAATCTACTTCGATTACATCGGAAATAGCGTCAGCATGAATCTCCTAGTAAGGCCAATCGACAGCTGGTCAAGAGAATTCCACCGTCGTCTACTGGTGGAACAGACCTTCGAATCTCTTCACCCAACACTAACTCGAAATGGAAATCAGCTCAACAATAATGAAACAAGAGATTCCTCAAAACCCAAATTTTCTTCGCATATATTACGTACGTATGGTATGAATTCTTATCAACTTTCTTCTGGCTATACGAAAACCA